GCTCCTCCTGCCCCCAGCACAATCCCATTGGCTGGCCAACGGGAGCTGCTTGTTTGAATAACAGGCAGCCCGGAAGCACAACCCCCACTCCCTCCTGCTCAGTTACTCGTTCAAGCACATGGCTGAGCAGGCAGAAACATTTTAAGCTCTGCAAGCCTTTAGCTCTGCAGGCAGGCAGGCTGGTTTGGCTGCTGGCTGGTAAGCCTCCTCGCCACAGCCTGCTTCTGGCACCCTAGCCCCTTCACGCTCCAACCCTCTGCTCCCCCACTTAACATACCCAAATGTTCTGTCCCCCTCTTGCACCCATATCCCCTCCCAGATCTGGCACCCCAATCTCCTGCCCCAGCTCAGTCCCCTTCTACGCTAGATCACATCCCAAACCCCTGCACTCCAGTCCCCTACCCTAGGTCACCACCGCTGCCTCCACCCAAATTCCCTCCCAGATTCCAGTCTCCCTCCTGCACCCCAAGCTCCCTTCTGCAACCTTCATCCCAGACCCCGCATCTCCATTAATATCATGGAAGAGTGTGGCCCTTGATCACTTTCCAAATCTTGGAGTGGTTCCCTTGTCAAAAATTATTGCCCAACCCCGCACTAGGCAATGGGATTACTGGATCCTTAACACTTTTATAAATGACAGACAAAAACTACCTCACCCGCCACCACAACCCACCAAAAAATGTCAACCTTTGGCTTTGGTCCCTCTCTGAAGTGGCATGTGGTACCTGTTTTGTGTTCGTGCTTGCTGTCAGGGCTTGAGTGAGACAAGATATGGCGTACATGTCTGCTGTGATCCACTGACATGTGGCCCAGTGGTTTGCTTTTCTGCCTCCTGCAATCCTTTCCCATGGGTTTTTGCTGTACTGTGCTTTAATTTGGCCCACAGTAGCACAAGGGAAGGTCTGTCTTTTCCCATGGGTTTTTGCTGCACTGTGCTTTAATTCAGCCCACAGTAGCACAAGGGAAGGTCTGGGTTTTTTTTTCTATTTTCTCTAATTTTTTATTAAAAAGTCTTATTATAGCTTTTAACTTTGTACTTCATCAGTGAAAACATTTTTGTCAGTTGAATATTATGTCTGCTCAGCTTCCCTGGTTCCAGTGTATGGTCAGTCAGTTCCCCCTGTTTGTGTGGGTGTCTCAGAGCAACACGAGAGAAAAACATTTTAACACAAGAACTAGGAATGTGTGATTGTACAATCACAACAATTGGCCCAGGAGTAGGGACATCCTGAGGGCAGGCTTAGTGCCTACAACTATTTTTAACTCCATTTAATCAAATAATGGTATAATGCTGTATATATGAAGGCAGGACGCTGTATATCCCCCCTCTGTTCCAGCTGGCTCTTGTGCCCTGAGTATCCTGTAGTATCAGAGGGCTGCTGAATTCTGTTTTTCTTTCATTCCAGATTTTAAACCTTGTTCCTGTCAATTGCACTGACTACGGGGATATTAAAAAGCTTGAAACTACTATTTTGGAGCATGTCAAGAATGAAGAAACATTTCCTAATGTTATTCGAGTGCTGCCCCCTGTTTATAAGGAAGTGGAAGCTGCAATTGTAGATATAGTGCAGAGTGAGGAGACTGCAGAACATGGTAAGTATCGGATCAATAGGCATTCCCTTGCCTCCACCACCCTTCCCCACTGAGAGTTCACTTCTTTAGGGGACCTACACTACAGCTAATGTTTTTTTGTGTGATGGTACTGCCCAGTACTGCCAGGATACGCACCTCCAGTCACAGCTCAACAACTTTTCCCCTGGAGTACTGGCCCCTTTTTTTTTTTTTTTTTAACAAAAAAATCACTGATCCACAGCCACCATCTTTTTGGCTAAGGAGGGCTGGCCAAGGACTCCCTTTGATGCCCAATAAACTCTAATCCATTGGAGAGGTGTTGGCAGTTCAGAGATTCAACATAGTCTAGAAGCTAAGCAGGTGGTGGTCTGTAGCTATCCCGGATGCTGCTCTTGGGAGCGAGAGACTGGGGAAGTGACCTCTGTTTTCTTGCAGGCCAGAGCATTAGTATTCCATTATGTGTCTTGTCAATTTTATCTTCCCTGTGTTCCCAGCTTGTCCACTCGTGGTGGTGGTGGTGGTGGTGGGGGGGTTGTTGCAATTTCACTGCATGCCGAGTGACCAAAGAGGGAGCCCTATTGCTTCCAGCACAGTCCCTTCCACATGGTCATCCTACAGTGATGTTCTAAAATAGCCCATCTTGGATTAGCTGAGACCTGGAGAGGCTCTAGAGATAAGGAGCAAAGAGAACAAGATGAATTTGATACGCAGAAGAGCTGAGCACTTGCAGTTCCACTGAAGTCCCCGTGAATTGTCGCTGCTCAGCACTGTTGAGAATGGAGCCAGGCGCGTAGCTGAGAACTGGAGGTTAGGAAGGCAGATGGGATATCCTGGCTGGAGTGTAGATCTTCCTTGTGCCTGCTTCTACTGGCTCAGACTACAGAGCCAGGGGGAGAGGGAAGATGTCAGAAACAGACAAAGGCTGAAATGCCAGCTCAGTGCTCCAATCCCCGGGTGTGGATGTTCTCTTCCTGTGTTGTGTGGATTAAGCGGAAGTGTGGCAGCCCACATCATCAGTCTCCGTGCAGAGTTCACCTGGAGTGAATAAATTGTTCTTTTATTCTTTTAATTGTGCTAGAGTGAGCTACATTGAGTTCCTTATGGGAACATATTGGCAGTGCCAAAGAGGGGCCTGCTCCTGCACACGTTTCCCCATCCTAATGATTAGACTTCAGTGGGGCTACTAGTTTGAGCAAGGACCTGCTCCTGTAGCCCTTAGCAGGGAGCTCTGTGTATTTCCATACTCACTTCCACATACCTGTGTGTGTGCATGTGCACGTATCCATCAGCCTCTGAAAAACACGGCAGGTAACATCAATCAAATAAAGGCACTGAGCACACCCTATGCTTTGAGATTCATGTGTCCAATTCTGACAGAAGTTACTTTTGACCAGGAGTGGGATTTGCCCAGCTCAAAGATGTTAGCCCTGATGTACGTTGGCCCTTTTAGGACTCTGTCTCGGACCAGGCCTCCCACACTGGCATTTCAGCTGCTGTTTGAAACCCTGCATTAGTAGTTTCCATGTAACCCTGTTCTCTCGCTAGGCATGATGGACCTCAACCACTTGCTCAGTGAAATCACCCGCCGAGAGTACCTGACCCATCTGGGCACAGAGCTTTTCCAGGACATCCTGAGATACCTCCATCGCATCGGGCTGATTATCTGGTATGAAGAAATCAAGCAGCTGGAAAGCACGGTCTTTCTCCGGCCAGCCTTTCTGATAACCATGTTCAAGGTGAGCAAGGGGATCATACCCGTAGAACCCTCACTCCGGGACTAGGTTATTTCTCTGGGAAGCAGCGTCCCGCTGCCATGCACATTCTGGTTTGTGCCACCAACTGCACCATTGTCCAGGCAGGAGAGTGATGGGTGGGTTTGGAAAGAGCAAGCCTTGAAGAAAAGGATGTTGTTCTCCAGCCATGTCTGCTTGTGGGACAAGTCTCTGAGATGCTCTGACACTTACAAAGGTCAGTCAAATAGGTTTCTCAAAGGACTTTGCAAGCAAGCAATTATCCTAACAGCTCTGTGTGAGAGTCAGTGATGTAGGTAAACAAAAGGGAGTAATTGGGGGGCCCAGATAATCTTCATCCAAGAATATTAAAGAAACTGGCACATGAAATTGCAAGTCCATTAGCAAAATTTTTTAATAAATCTCAAAACTCAGGGGTGGTACCATTTGACTGGAGAATTGCTAATATAGTTCCTATTTTTAAGAAAGGGGAAAAAAGCGATCCAGGTAACTATAGGCCTGTTAGTTTGACATCTGTAGTATGCAAGATCTTGGAAAAAATTTTGAAGGAGAAAGTAGTTAGGGACATTGAGATTAATGGCAATTGGGACAAGTTACAATATGGTTTTACAAAAGGTAGATCGTGCCAAACCAACCTGATCTCCTTTTTTGAGAAAGTAACAGATTTTTTAGATAAAGGAACTGCAGTGGATCTACTCTACCTCGATTTTAGTAAGGCATTTGATACAGTACCACATGGGGAATTATTGGTTAAATTGGAAAAGATGGGGATCAGTATGAAAACTGAGAGGTGGATAAGCAACTGGTTAAAGGGGAGACTACAGCGGGTCATATTGAAAGGTGAACTGTCAGGTTGGAGGAAGGTTACTAGCGGAGTTCCTCAGGGATCAGTTTTGGGGCCAATTTTATTTAATCTTTTTATTGCTGATCTTGGCACCAAAAGTGGAAGTGTCCTAATAAAATTTGCGGATGACACAAAGTTGGGAGCTATTGCCAATTCAGAAAAGGATCGGGATATCATACAGGAAGATCTGGATGATCTTGTAAATTGGAGTGATAGCAATAGGATGAAACTTAATAGTGAGAAGTGTAAGGTTATGCATTTAGGGATTAATAACAAGAATTTTAGTTATAAGCTGGGGACACATCAGTTGGAAGTAACAGAGGAGGAGAAGGACCTGGATGTATTAGGCGAGGTATTTCCAGTAGGGATAAGGAGGTGTTAGTGCCATTATACAAGGCATTGGTGAGACCCCATTTGGAATACTGTGTGCAGTTCTGGTCTCCCATGTTTAAGAAGGATGAATTCAAACTGGAACAGGTACAAAGAAAGGCCACTAGGATGATCCGAGGAATGGAAAATCTGTTTTATGAAAGGAGACTCAAGGAGCTTGGCTTGTTTATCTTAACCAAAAGAAGGCTGAGGGGAGACGTGATTGCTCTCTTTAAATATATTAGAAGGATACATACTGGGGGGGAGAGGAATTATTTAAGCTTAATACCAGTGTGGACACAAGAACAAATGGATATAAGCTGACTAGTAGGAAGTTTAGACTTGAGATTAGACGAAGGTTTCATTAGAGGAGTGAAGTTCTGGAACGGCCTTCCAAGGGAAGTAGTGGGGGCAAAAGATCTATCTGGTTTCAAGATTAAACTAGATGGGTTTATGAAGGGGATGGTTTGATGAGATAACATGATCTTGGTAACTAATTGACCATTCATTATCAGTGGGAAATAGGTCAATGGAGGGAAGATAGGAGTTACTATAGAGAACTTTCTGCTCAGGTGTGGATTCTCAAAGGATATCCCCAAGTGATGGGCACATGGGACCTGCTGCTGATGTGCTGAATCACAAGTATATGATCTTTAGGGCCATTTCATAACATCCAAGAAAGATCACAGCTGGAGGATTCTCTGCATCTTGGGGTCTTTAAACTATTTGAAGGCTTCAATATCTGAGATATAGGTGAGAGGATTATTCCAGGAGTGGGTGGGTGAGATTCCGTGGCCTGCGTTGTGCAGGGGGTCAGACTAGATGCTCATAATGGTCCCTTCTGACCTTAAAGTCTATGAATCTATAAAAGCAAAGTACCCAAGGTCACAGTGCAACTCATCGGCAGGAACACAGCTGACCAGGCCTGAATTCCAGTCTCCTGGTAACTACTATGAGGTGGATACAGTCTTCTATGAACTGAACTGAGGCCAACAGATATTAATTCCCTGTTTGTACCAGCCTGGCTAGATGAGCCTCTGCCTGGTCTCTTTGAGCCATCCAATGTATATTAAAGAACAAATGAAAGCCCGATTCAAATTCTCTTCCCACCTCTCCTTCTTTTAAAATAGCCCTTTTCAGCCTCACTTCAAGTATGGCCAAGACCCTGTTTTCCTCATACTAGTATGTGCTGTGTAGAAGGAATTTGGTCCCATTGTCTGGGATTGCTGGAGGAGCCCCGTGCCACGTGTTGTCAGGAGGAAGGATAGGGTGCTAGCTGAGGACTTGGGAGAAACCAGTTCAATTCCCTGCAGCTGTGTCTAGACTGGCCAGTTTTTCCGGAAAATCAGCTGCTTTCCCGGAAAAACTTGCCAGCAGTCTACACTGGCCGCTTGAATTTCCGCCAAAGCACTGACTTCCTACTGTAAGAAATCAGGGCTTCTTTCGGAAATACTATTCTGCTCCCATTCAGGCAAAAGTCCCTTTTGCACAAAGCTTTTGCGCAAAAGGGCCAGTGTAGACAGCTCAGATTTGTTTTCCTCAAAAAAACCCCGATCGCGAAAATGGCGATCGGGGCTTTTTTTGTGGAAAAGCGCGTCTAGATTGGCCACGGACGCTTTTCCGCAAAAAGTGCTTTTGTGGAAAAGCGTCCGTGCCAATCTAGACGCTCTGTTCTGAAAATGCTTTTAACTGTGTGTGTGTGTGTGTGTGTGTGTGTGTAAAACAGGTGTCTGGGCAGGGGGAGCCTGCTTGTCTATGGGCTTCTCCTGTGACCTTGGATGAGATGCTTAGTCTCCTGTGTTTCAGTGGCCATGCATAAAACGGGGAGTAGATAACTTCCCTCCCTTCTTGGGACAGATACATTAAAGACTGCGAGGCTCTCAGATATGAAGGGGTGATTTAAGTACCTAAGGAAAACGGCATCCATCCCTGTAATGTTCCTGGGAGTGCTGACCTCTTGTTTCTTCACGTTCAGATCCTTGTAAGGGATCGTCTTGTACAGCAGCTGGAGAACATCTCCGTGGACCTGCTGGTGGGAGAACATGCCACCATCAGAGACCAGTCCAATTGGGTGTGGACATTCAAGTCGAAGGCCATGCTGTGCCAGCAGGCCATGCGAGCCTTGGTCAAGCACCAGCTCTACTTGGAAGGGATGAAGGACGTCTTTGAGGAGATGGTGGGGCACAAGGTCAAGAAGGGGAAGCTGTTCAGTCTGCTGGAGCACTTTGAGATCTGCCTGGAAGTGAGGAATGCCAAGAACCTCAACCCAGGGGCCAAGGAGTTTGTGCCAGGGAGGCCGTGGGAAACAGTGCAGGACCACAGAGAGGCTTGTTACTTGTTTCCCACATACCTCAACCAGAGCAAGGAGGTTTCTGAGAGATGGGGAGGAGACCATCCGGAGGATCTCCACATCCGGGCCTACTTCTCACCTGAGATCCCGGAGGGCTTCTTTCAAAGGTAATGAGCAGCCCCCTTGCCTTGGCCATCTGCTGCTGCCTGTCCGCATGTCCTGAGCTGGCCGTTCTCCAGCATAGGGGTCATTCCTTCTTATCTGTCTGGGAAGTGCATGCCTGGTACTAGTATAAACAAGCACATTCAGTGATAGTGCCTGAAAGGAAGGTTGGCCTAGAGGTTAAGGCCCTGGGGTGGCTCTCCAGAAATCTGGGTTCAATTCCAGCTCTGCCATAGAGTCTGTGTGACCTTGGGCAATTCTCTTCATCTCCCTTGGAGCCTCAGTTCTCCATTTGTGAAATGGGAAGAAGAATTCTCCCTCTGTCTGCCCAGAGTGGAATTTCTTTGGGTGTGTCCTGCACCTGGCCCAAGGAGGTTATGAACTCAGCTGAGGCCTGCAGGTGCTACTGTCATACAAATGATTAATAAGAGCTGTGTTCGCCCAGGGATTTATGCCTCAGCTTTCCCATTTGTATTGAGTGGTGCTGCATATGTCAGTCATTGTACCTTATTCTGGTGACATGCCCCCTATGGCTTTATTTCTATCCAGTAATCCTTAAGAGCTGGGAGTGGGCAAACCACATGCCTGTGGTGATTTGTGCTAGGAGATGGGTTCCCCGCTGTTCCGGTCTCCAGCTCTTATGGGTCTGCTAAGCCATCTCTTAGTGCTTTGAGAAGATCTGAACAAAGTAACTGCAAGGAGCATTATGGAAGGGAAGTTGGGAGGACACTTTCATAATCCCACTGGCTGAGCCCTGCTCTCTTTCACAAATGGCCAGCTGGAGGAGATGTGTTCTGTGCAAGGACTCGTGGGGCAGAGGGAGCACACCCAAACCCTTCCCTTCCTCTGGGCAGACCTTCTGCCTGGCTGGAGCTCCTGGGGTCCTCCCTTTTGGGCAGCAAAAACCAAACTCTGGCTGCCCAGGTGAGAGAGCAAACCTTGTTCTCAGCCTGCTGAGCCGATAGTCCAGAGCCACTTGCTGGGTCACCGCCTTCCTCTGAGAGTCTTGCTGCCTGTGGTTTGTAAGCTAGCAGAGCAGAAAACCCAATCTCTCTGTTTGCCAGTCTGGCTGCTCCCTGCTGACAGCCAGGAGAGCAAGGCTGAGAGTCCAAGTCACTGCTATACAAGGAAGTTGTGAGCTTCCTTCCTCCTGCACCTCAGTTGATCTTATGCCCTGTAGGGCAGCTCATCTCTGAACCCTCACAAACACCAGTCTTCACCTGCCACGGGGATGAGTTTGGACACAACATGTCATAGGACCTGGCTCATAATTAACCCGAGAAGTGATGAATCCGACCTAACAGGCAGTCAGGGTCTGGGGTTTCCAGTGTTTGAAGGGATGGCTAATTCTATTCCACTCTGAATGTTTTTATATCGCTGTGCACATCACGGGAGTGTCTGAGTGCATTAAGCATCCTGACTATGCACCTGTCTGCTCTTTCATCCTCTCCCCTAAGGGAGACGTGCGGGCAGTCTCTTGTTTTGGCGGTAGAGCGGTTTTGTTTATAAATTCACTACCAAGTTTCAATTCAGTTTTTAGAGCATTGATTTGTACCCCAGCGATCCATGTGGGCAAGGTGGCTTGTTCACATTGGGGTCGTCTCTCTGCATCTAGTGTTGAGGAGGAGGCAGAGGCACTACCTCAGAACCACGTACCCAGCCTTCCTTACTACTACTAGGGGGTGTGCCTGTGTTGCCCAATGTGGACCAAGCACCCAGGCTGTCTAATACATGGGGCCACTAGTCACTTTAGGGAGACGCTTTAGGCTGCTGGCCTACCCAGGGCTGAGAGGGTATCAAAAGTTGGCAAGAAAGAGATTGTGTGTGTGTGTGTGTGTGTGTGTGTGTGTGTGTGTGTGTGTGTACATTAAATATTATATACAAAAATATACACACACACTAGGAATTTTGTATATAATGTAATATACAACTAGGGGGCTGTGGCCCCTGCTTACTGTGCTCGCCAACCCCCCTCTCTCTGGGGACAGGTGTCTGGGCAGGGGGAGGGTGCAGGAGCAGGCTATGGGAAGGGAGCAGGAACAGGCTGGGGTTGTGGGTCCCAGCGGATGGGGTGAGGGGGCTGGAGGTGTCAGCTCGGGGGGTATGAGTGAGAGGGATAGGGTGCAGGGTCTCAGCGGAGTGGGTGAGTGAGCAGGGTGGAGGTGCAGGGTCTCAGCAGTGTAATGAGTGAGGGGGCTGGAAGCTGGGGGTGCAGGGTCTGGGGGCCACTTTCTTTGGCGCGGCTCCTAGCACCATAGCTCAGGCACTGCCTCCCACTGTTTTTTGAAATCTAGCTAATTTGTTTCGCATTAATCACTTGAGTTAACGACAGCTAATTGAGAACCTTAATTTTCATGCCATTCTGTAAGTTGAGAGTTTGTCCTCACCTACAGTACTGGCAGCATTCACTTTCGGTCACCCTGCCTTCAAAAAGATGTAGCAGACATGGAGAGATTTGCAAGCCAGGCAGTGAAAATGATTAGAGCCCCAGAAAGGTTGTGTGTGAAGAGAGACTGATCAGACTGGGACTGCATTGTGCTGCCAGCAGACTGCCCCTGGGGCATGCCAGCACTGCACATAGCAATGAAGAAGTAGGCACACGTTGGGTGCTCGGGTGACAGGGGAGGAGAGGGATTGGGCTCAGATGGTGGAGGGGACATGGGGTGGCCTTGGGGGAAGGGTTGGGCTCAGATGGCAGTGGAGGGTGGGGTGGGGGTCGGGCTCGGATGGCGAAGGAGGCCCGGTGCAGCTCAGGAGAGTGGGGGTTTGGGCTTGGATGGCAGAGGGGACACACTGCGTCCTGGATGTGTATGTCAGGCGTGGAAGGGGCTCGGATGGTGGGACCCCGCCACCCCCGTCCCCC